CTGTAAATGGACCAGCTCTGAGCCCATTATATCTGGACCCTCCATATAACAATACAACTTTAATGTAATTTGTAGCTCCTCTTATTTCTTCCTGTAACAAGCTGTGTGATTGAGTCTGTTTCCTCACTGTATACCTCCATCTCTGAGGCATGGATAAAATCAAATAAGATGAAAAATAACTGATAAAGTGTACAGACGTATATTATTGTTGCAGGCATCCTAGATTTATCCCAAGCGGGAGGACTGGACCAGCCTGGAGCTAGCTCATCTGCTTGGGGCCAGAGGAGGTGCGCTGGAAAGAGACGGGAAAAACTGAGACCACCCCCCGATGAATGGGGAGGATTGCTCAAAGCTAGATGGTGCCCCCAGCCTAGGCCCTTGAATTTGGGACTCAAGGTAGCCTATGAGAGAAAAGTTGGGCGCTTTGGTGCCCGGATGTGACTGATCTAGGTGAGAGTCATTTTCTTTCAGCCCAGGGAACATGGCCTCTTTGCGCCCTGGACTGTTCAGTTTGGGATGGTGGCAGGGCACCCCAGTCTGTGCAGGCAAGTATATCCCAGGGGCTGTGGGCCAGGCCTTTGGGGTATCACTAGGCAGTGGTAGTTTTCCCCAGGAGAAATCCTGGGTGGGTTTCCTGTAATGCTGAGTGAGGCTTCAAGGTGGGAAGAGATCCTGACATGTGGATCACCATTATCGTGGTCCCTTCTGAGGTGGGGCAGGGACGTGGGACAAGCATCATGATTAACTTTTCCTACCTATGATGAAAAATGCGAACATATGAATAGTATAGTAAGAACCGAATGGACTCCATCTTCAGGCTAAGATTCCATTTTAAAAACCAGGGAGTCAGGAGGTAAGATTCCTAACATACTTCAGTAATCAGCCAACACCCTATCTTAAGACGGGCAAGCAGTCCTAACCTGATCTCTTCCCAGTGCTTGAGTGTAATCGTATCTTGGAGAAGAACAGGCTCAATAAATTCCTTGTGTTAAGTTTATCTTACAGAATATCTAGAGGATTGAGTGTGGATGGGGTCATAATGTCCCTCACTGGAGAGAAACATCCTGAGGCCACATGGCAAGCCTACGCCAACCCCACCCCCCAGCCCTTTGCCCCATTCTTGAAAGCCTTAGAAGACAACCTAAGCCCATAAATGTGCCTTCTCTCTGAGGCTGCCCACACTCCCCTTTGTATACTTTTTGCCTTAAATGAAGACTTCTTGCTGCCCAACTTGCTGCATTTTGTCTCTGTGCCCTTCCATTGGTAAGCGTCTGTTACTTTGCTATTTCATTCTGTTTTCCAGGCTTTGGCACAAGTCTTCACTCTCTGTTCTACTCCAGACAAGTAGGGATGGGCTATCTCTGATCTGGGCTTGCAAGTTCCCATCGCCTGGGTAACTAGGATAGGACTGCAGCCTGCACCCAAAACTCTTTGCTTTTTAAGTTCTCAGAACATAATCTCACTCCAGTGCTTTGTAGCCCCTCCAAATCCTGGGGTGATAAAAGCTTAGACCCTACCCCACGCAGATCCAAGTGGACACTGGACCCCAGGTGACCCTGGCTTTAGGAGTTGTCGAGATATTTTCCCCACGCCCAGCGGGAGCTAAGTGAGCTTCCCTTTCCTCTGTCCCTCCTTGCTCTCAGCTTCTCTCGCTCTAATTCCTTCCTTCCCTCCACTCCTCTGGCCTGCTGGAGAATCCTTTTTCCTTCAGAACCAAGAACCCCAACCCCCTCCATGCTGGGTTTCACCTAGTGCATAGGGAGAAACCTCTCCAGACACCCACAGCTGGGGGCCAATTCTGTCTACACGTGCTCATGTTACCGGGCTCCCGTTCGGGCGGACTGCAGCGGAGCAGAGAGGGCGGGTGGAAGGGGCCATGGGGGATCAGCTAGTGGATTAGGAAGACTAGGCCACCGGCAGCCCGGAGGGAGGATGACTCGTTTCTTTAGTTTCACGCCACTAAACTTACACTATTAAATGAGTACTTAGAATTCCCGATCGCGGGGTGAGAGGCACACAACTTCCGGCCGAAGAGGCAACGCGCCCCCACCCCTTCCGGCCGTGGACGCCAGCGCCTGCGCACTCGGTGCTGGCCGCCGGTTGGAGGAATTTACCAACTGAGGGGCGGGGGTGGGCGCGCAGATATCTGGGCTGGCGCTGCCGGAAGTTGCTGCTTGCGCGCCCCGGAATCCGTAGTCTCTTCCGGCTCCGCTGCGCTCTTGGCGCCTCCCGGGGGTTCCCGCGGAGGCGAGGGGTGGAGTACAGACTAACCTCAGTACCCACCGTGGAGGTGTCCGCGCTGCTAGGCCGCCTCGCAGCGTCGCCCCCCGGGTCTCAGCAGGCAGCTGGCCGTATCCCGGACCTCCGGCCTTAGGTAAGCCACGGAGGGGGCGTTGTGCTCTCATTTCACAGACTTGGACGCTGAGGCTCGGGGTGCGGGGATGGCCTGCCGGTCGGACGGGCCCGGTGCGTCCTCCAGGCTAGCCTCCGTTCCCCAGTGCCCGCCCCTAAAACAGCCAGGCCGGGCGTATTGCACAGCCTCTCCTAACCATCGCTCCGCGTGCCAAGGACTGCCCGTAAACACTCTTGTGGGCATTAATTCACTTAATGAGCTATGGGTGTGTGCTGTTATCCTTGCCGTATGGTCGAGCAAGCCGAGGTACAGTAGCGCAGGAACACAGCTGGTGGGTAGCGGCCAGGCTTCGAACCCACACAGGCTGGTTCTAGACTTCATGCTCTCAATTCACATGGAAAGCAGCCTCATAGAAAACAGCAAGGGTTCTGCTTGTTGGGTTAAAACAACTAATTTTATGTCACTTTTGCATAATGTGAAATCTAGTGATGAGTTATTATTTAAAACATCTTCCTTAGAGTTTGCAAGTAGCCAAATCTGCATGTGGGCGAAAACCTAAAAATACGTAGTGTTTTGCTCCACTCTTTTCCTTCTACACACCCCAACCATCCTTTCCTCAGCTACTTTCCATCTCCTCTCAGGTGAGTGGGTGGTTGGGAAGCCCAGGACTTGAGGGCTTAGCAAGGGCTTTGAAACCTCTGAGTCTGGTTTGGAATGTATAGCCACCCTGTCCCCCACAGTGCAGGAGCTGAGAGAAGATAGGGGCCCGTGGGGCTGGGCAGAGTGAAAACTCAGAGAAAGTTCTAGCATACTTAATGCCCAGGGTGGGCTGAGCTTGCACAAGTCCCTGGGATGAGGCAGGCACAAGAGAAATAGAAAAATGTCCCCTTCCTTTCTGGGCATGTACGAGCAGTTAGAAGTCTCTAATCCATGGAGCCAACACATTATGGAAGTGCCGAGGCACCCCCTCCTCTCAGGCTCAGCCAGCAGGTTACTCCCTCTCCGTACATACGGCTTCCTCTGGGAATCTGTAGGATTCTGGGCATAAGCTGCCTCAGTCCTTCTCTACATCCACAGTCAGGGATTTGCTGGCTGCCACAGCCATACTTCTTTCTTTGCTTTATCAGAAAAAATAGTCTTTCTCATCTCTAAGGATAGATTAGCCTGTCGTCTGGGCCCTGGATCCACTTTCCTCAGAAAGCCCCTGCTGTCAGTTCTCCCTGTCTCCCGTGTATGTAGTATTGCCTGTCTTCCCACTGCACCTTTTCCGTCCCATCCCAAACCGTGACCCTCCCTGCCCACCCCACCTCCGACAGGGCAGTAACCTGCATCCCCCTCCTCTCATTGCATGGCTCCACTTTCATCCACGGAAGTGACCTTTGACCCCTGTTGTCATTTCTGCACGTGGCCCTTTGGCTTCCATAATATGGCTTTAGATTTCTTTGTCTCCTTTGGTTTTTAGTCATCTTTGAAGTCTACTCCTCTGCCCTCCCCATATTGTCACCGTTGCCTGGGCAGCCGCCCTCCAGTCTCTTCCTCTTCAGTTTCTACAGATACTTTGTCACAGGGCTGTATCTTTAGTTCAGACCTATCCCCTGACCCGTGTATCTGTCACATCTGCTCCTTGTTCCAAAAGAACCACAAACTCAGCATATCCCAAACTGAACTGTGCTCATAAATGAGGTCTCTGCAGAATCCCTCTCTGTTCCCTTTGTTTGTCCTCCACATCTCAACTCAAGCATAATCTGCCTCCTGAATAGCTCTCTAAACTCTGCCCCCACCCCACCCCCACCAGACCACCTGGCCCTTTTCACCCCTGCCTCCCAGTGCCGGGCCTGCCTCCTGGCCCCACTGCGGCACCCTTTCCACTGCAGCCCAGGAGCCTCTGTCTTGTTGTCGTCCTCAGATGTGCATCTGTCATTTATTGTGAGAAGTGTCATAAGTAACCTCTTACGAATAATCAAAGTACTGGGGTTTGTCGGTGTTTTTTTTTCTAAATTTTACATTTCAGATTCATTTAGGTGCCAGGTTGGCTTTCCACAGTGTCAGACTCGCTGTCACCCGATGTACTTCAGTGGAAGAGAAAGGGGTGGCATTATTGTCAGTGCTAGTGGCCACCCAAGGTCCGGGATGTGCCAGGGAGGCCGTCAGGAGTCAGGGATCCCAAAGCAGTAGCCTAAGGTAAGCATCCCTGTATAGGACAGAATCTGAACTCCGATGTCACTGACATGATTTATGTGTAGGTCAGCCAAGGCCCGGCCTCCACAGCACCTCACACCACTTTTCTTGCTCTGGCACCATGAGCCCGTTTCCAGATTATCTTCTTGTCTTGAGCGCCAGGTGCCAACCAGCAGTTACTCTCCTATATTTGTACCTTCAGGGCAGTGTTGGCTCATGATAGATACTTGGTGAATTTTTGTTAAATGGTCAAATGGATCAAAAGTATCTGCAGAATAAGGATGTACTGATGGGACAAGGCTAACTGGGGGAACAGAATGGGATTGGTGCTGGGGTGTAAACTGGTAGGTCCTCAGAGGAAGGCGGTGGGCTGTGACCCGGGCTGCAGTCCTAACACACAGGTTTTTTTCTTTCCTCTGTCGTTGTCAGTGAGGGCAGGTCAGACCTGGCCTGGTTTCCATACCCTGTTCTGGGTTCTCGGTAGCGGTGAGGCCTGCACACTGCTTCTGGAGGCCCGGTGCCAGCTCTGGTCTTCCACTCTGCTGGCGACCATCCATCATGTTACTGCTCTGCGTTTCGGTCTCTTCAGTCATAAATAAGAGCTGAGGTAAGTCCCTTCCCGTTTTGACGTCTGGAGCACTTGTTCTGGAACCAGGGCAGTGGGTTGCATTTCCTTTGCACCTTTGGACGTTCGGTTTGGTGGTGGCTAAGTTCTTAAGCAACAGGCTTGAGGAAGTAGCCGCAGTCCTCTCGGACTCCTTCAGTGGAAGGAGCTGCTCCGTACCGCGCCGCCCACCCTGGGCCAGAGTCTCACTTGAGCCGCCCTGGGGGCTTGCCTCCTGCAGAGGCAGTCCTGCCATCCTTGGCGAGCCCTTGGAGTGTGTCACAGCACTCACGGCCAGAAGGTACTGGCTCTGAATCTTGCCTCTCGTTCTGGTCTGAAGAGTGAGGACTTCTTCCTTCCAGCTGCTTGTGGTGGGCTTACTAAGCCGTCTTCCCCCGGGTCTTCTCTTTCCCATACATTCTAGTTTACTGGGCTTTTCCTTCCCTTTCATTTTCTTTTCTTCTCTCCACATACTTCTCTTCTGCTTTGTGTCCCTTTCCTTTTGAGAGCCCTGAATGTGACCTAATCTTCAGGATAGCGGGTGACAGGGAGGAGTTCTGGATTATACCTGGGTATCCGGTCTGAGCATCTGGGTGAACAGATTTCCTGCTTTCTAGGACTGAGTGGACTGTAGAAAGAGTAGGTGGGGAGGCATAGTGGGCACCAGAGAGAGGCTGGGCAGTGGGCAGTGCGTAGAGGTGCTCCCCATCAGGGGGAGTGTGTGGGAGGGAAGAGGGTCAAGGAGGGAACCCGGGAAATGTCATTAAGAGCCAGGCAGAGAGCCCAGAGCAGAGGCTGGAAAGGAGTCGTGGGTGAGAGGACAACCAAGAAAATGTGATGGCCCGGGGCCCTGGGCAATCGGCCTTCCAGAGGTAGGTGGCAGGCGCTATCGAAAAGTCAAGTGGAGCCAGTGCCTGGGCACTGTGGGCAGCCTCCACCAGACCGGTGTCGGGGAGCAGTGGGAACCAGACCAGAGACGAGGGCTCTCCCGGGGAGTGGATGGTGAGAAAGTGTAAAGAGCTCTTCAAGAGTGTCTCTGTGGCAGAGGGAGGGTGAGGGCGCGAGAGCCTGGCTCACTGGCCCTGGGAGCTGCTGCGTCCTGTGTTCTCTGGCTGACTCCTAGAGGGGGTCCCGCGGAGCTGAGCAGGGTCCTGGCTGAAGAGGCCTCAGGCTGCCTCCCTCCGCAGCATGAGTCCCGGGAGAGAGCCCCACGAGAGCCTGTGGCTCTTCACAGTGCCCTGCTGGGCGCGCAGGCCCACGGGTCCCCCTCCCCCGCCCCGCATCTCTTCCAGGGAGGCCCCTGACTTCATGGCCGGGTCAGGCCCCTCCCTTGGATCTCACAACCCTGAGTAGTGCTGCTTCATACCTGCACTACAGTGCTAGTTTTACACGTGAATGTGAATCTTAAATTTATCCACACCTGTGTCCCACCAGCCTGGAGGCTGTGTCCACGCAGGGGCCTTGCCTACTTTGTGCTGTATCCTCCACACAGGAGAATTGCCAGGTGCCTGGTAGGTTCTCAATAAACTGAAGGGAAGAAGAGAAACGTCAGTTTGGTGAAGCAGGTAGACACTGATGAGCCAAGGGCCGTGGGGGCTCCCGGCGAGGGCTGTTCCACTGGGCTGGAGGGGCGAGCCTCTGCCTTTGCCAACGAGGTTGAGGTCGTGAGTGTTCTGTCTGGGGCTGATTTCTGTTATCTTGCCGTGCCTCTGTCCACTGCTTACTTCTCTCCCCTCCAGGCCTCACCTTCCCCCATCAGTGGCCCCCAGAGTTGAGTAGGGCAGCTGAGACCTATTCTTTTCATCTTGCTTTGCAGCCTAAACCCATTTTCCCATTCCCCCAAGTTCCAAGCATGTTGGAAGTAGAAAAAAACAAAAAGCCCCCCAGGAGACGTACATCCTCAGGATCAGTGGGCCAGGAGTCCCCTGTGTGTGCTGACTCTCCCATGATCAGAGCCAAGAGCCCAGCTGTTACCCTGGTTTCTCCTGACTCCAATTTCAGCACCAGAGCTACCAACACCTCTTGTGGACTTGACTGGGGGGTCAGGGGGTGCCTGCTGGAGACTGAAGTCAAACTTGATTTTGGAGATGTAGGCGAGAAGGCTGGCGGTGGCCACAGGAAGGCCAGACCCTGTGGCTCCCAGAAGGAGAGTGAGGGGAGTCTGTCCCTACAAAGGAAGAGACCCTGTTCCCTCTCCAGTGACTGGCCAGTCCCTTCATCTGACCGAGTTTGCCTGGAGGAGCAGGAAGACAGTGTCCTAGGCGCACATGTCTGCAGCAAGAGGAGACTCTGCTCCCTGGGGAGGCCTGGTCTTCACCCAGCTGCCTCCCATGCAGAGTGTGAGGCCAGTCCTGAGCAGAATGGACCAAAGAGAAATGCCAGACTCTCTGGCCTCAGATGTGTACTTGGACAGGAGCCTCCTGTACAGCCCAGGAAGGTGTCCAGTTGGAAGGCACATGGACGGAGAGAGCAGGGGGAACTGGCAGGAAAGAAGTCCAGGGACCCAGTGCTCAGCTCTGGCCAGGCCCCTTCTGCCCGGGTGCTGGTCCGGGCGGCCAGTCCAGACAGGCTGGAGGTGGGCCAGCCTCGGGAGAACGATGAGGCAACGCAAGCTGAGGTCCTCATAGCCCGTCTGGCCAGAGAGGTGCGGCGCCTCAAGAAGTGGAAGAAAAGGCAACTGCTTCCCGGTCTGGGGGAGAAGTTGCCTCTCCTGAGCCTCCAGAAGCCACTCTGCATGAAGCATTCCCTGGGCCCTCTGGACATCACAGGCCAGAAGCCCACAGTAGACGTCAGACAATTCTTTACTTTCAACTGCAAGAACATCTGCCATGTCACCTGCAGTCTGTGTCACACCAGCATCAGACAGAGCAAAGTTAAGGGTCAGTCCCAAACCTCGGGCCTCCTCCGTCACTTGGTGAGTAAGCATGGGCTGGAGAGGGAGAGACAGCCAACTGCGGCCCGCCCCGGAGAGAAGGGGGCAGGGGCCGAGAAAAAAAAGACCAGTCTGTCCCTGGGCTCCTCTGGCCTTGCCCCTGAAGAGTCCCCATCACCAAGCCGCGGCTCAGATGACTCCCCTTTGGGAGACGGTGGTGGGCAGCCAGGCCCGGGTGGACCCAGGCAGCTGTCACTGGCTCCTCCACCCTTGCCTCCTCCCACTCCCACCAAAGATGAACCCACTGCTCCCCCCGTGGCTGTCAGGGAGGAGCAAGACGGCACATATGCTCCCAACCAGCCCCGAGCCCAGGCCTGGAACCAAAGCATTGCAGAGTTGCTCTGCAGCCTGGCGCTGCCACTCTCCTTTGTTTCATCCCCACCTTTCAGAAGGTTCATGGCCCAAGTTGACCCTTGTTACCATTTGCCGTCTCTAGCCTTCTTTGCTGATAAAGCCCTGCCCCTGCTCCATGAGGCCATGGATGAGCAGGTGCTTCAGGAGATGCAGTGGGCTCAGGGCAGCTGCGTCCACCTCACCATGTCCACAGCAGCCCGGGATGCAGTCGTGGACTACGTGGCCATCACTGCCCACTGGGCGGCAGTACAGCCAGGGAGCCGGCAGGTGGTGTCTGGAAGCCCGCGGAGGACAGCGGTGCTCTGGGTCCGAGGCCTGCCCGTGGAGAGCACCCAGGAGGAGAGGCAGCGGGGGCTGCGGGAGAAGGTCAGCCTGTGGCTTAGCCGCAGCACCATGCGACCGGGCTTCCTGGTGTCGGGCGGCTGCCTCAGCCTGGAGCAAGCAGTAAGGATGGAGGGCTACACACATGTCCCTTGTTTTGTCAGCTGCCTTGACTCTCTGGTGAGAAACTTTCTGCATCACCATCACAGCATTCAGATTGCCAGGGCCATCTGCAGTCATTTCCAAGGCTCTGCAGAGGCCCGGCGGCTGCTCACCCAGCTGCAGCGGCAGTGTGGCCTCCCAGAGCACCAGCCCTTTGGGGAGCTCGCAGCCAACTGGGTCTCCGACTACCACCTGATGGAGTGGCTGGTGGAGCAGCAGCGACCGCTGCAAGAATATGAGGAGAAGCACCAGCTGGGTAAGGCCGGGATGGCCCTGTCGGCCATGTTCTGGAGCCTGACAAACAGCCTGCTCACCCTCCTGCAGCCCTTCCAGCTGACGATCCGGGAGGCGAGTGCGGCACGGGCTGCTTTAAGTGAGGTGCTGCCTCAGCTGCGCTACCTGTACATCTTCCTAGAGCAGGTTCCCGGGCACTTCGGGGAGCAGGGAGGCAAGGAGATGGGCGCAGCCGTCCGGCTGGCTGAAGGCTTGGCCCTGCAGCTCTCCACAGACTGCCAGCTGAATGAGCTCTTCCACCGCGAGGAGCTGGTGCTGGCCACCCTGCTGGACCCCCGCTTCAAGGGGAAGATTGAGGCCATCTTGCCTGCGGGGGCTGACATTGACCACTGGAAGCAGGTTCTTGTGTACAAGGTGAAAGAGATTATGGTGTCTGAATGCCCCCTGCCCGCTTCACTCTCCCTGCAGAGTCCCAAGGCTGTGTGTGTGAACGCCACCTCAAGGGGCAGCATTGCCAGGAGCCTCAGGGCTGAGGGCCAGGGCCAGAAGGAGCCTGGGCAGCAAAGCAGCAGCTCTGGGTCTTTGCTGCTGGCCCAGAGGGAGAAGAGCTTGCTGGAGCAGCTGGAACATGTGGGGCTGCTGGCATCCAGGGAGAGTGGAGCCTCGCTCTTCACTGAGAACCACTTGGCCAGCATTGTTGTGAAGAAGTACCTGCATGAGAATGAGACGATTGGTGCCCAGGAGGACCCTCTGACCTACTGGGAGAAAAGGCAGGAGGTCTGGCCGGCCCTGGCAAAACTGGCCACTGTCTATCTGACCTGCCCTGCCACGGGAGCCTCGTCTAGACGTGTCTTTGCCTCCCTGGGCAGCCCTGCCCTTGTGGGGCACAACTCCCCTCTCCCAGTGGAGACAGTTGAGCATCTCCTTTTCTTGAAGACCAACCTGGAGAATTTCCCCAACTACACGCGCCCCCCCCTGGTCTTCCCTAGTGGAGACCTGGCCGAGGGAGAGCAGAGCAGTGAGTCTGACCTCATGGTCCACGGCCCTCAAAATCTGCCTGTAGGGACTCGGCAGTAGATAAGAGGAGCGCACAGAGTGGTTATCCTAGGGCATTAGATAGGGACAGCCAGAATCTTTAAACCGGTCTGGAAAGGGACAATTTCTCAATTCTTGACAGATTACCTTTTTTTTTTTTCAGAGAGGTGTCATTTTTCATCTGCTGAGTGTTTAATCTATTTTTAGTGGTTTTTGCACAAAACAGATTTCCTTGACTCATAAGTGACCATGAGTTGTACAATGCAGTTTTATAAACCGCACTGCTCTGAAATATTGGCGGGTCTTCAGGGCTCTACCCGCAGCTCGCCCATGTGTGTCAAGTGAGGCATACCCTTAAAAGGGCTGCTTCTTAAAAAGTGGCCAGAGACTAGAGGAGGCCTCGGCAGCTGGGAAGTCTGCTCAGCCGCCCAGAGCCTGGTAAGCCGTGGGAGATCCTTCTGAGATTGTTTGAGGAGGGAGAGGCATGCACACGCATGTGCACGTGCCCGTCGGCTCCGGGTCTCTACTTCTCGGGTCCCAGAGCGGCTGAGGCCCCTGGCTGGTGGGACTGCCCAGCCAGTGAAGGAGACTGACTGGAGGAGACCTGAGACGGCTGGTCCTCAGAAAGCTCTCTCCTGTGGTTTGTTTCCAGGCCACTGAGAACCTGAGGGCTTCTTTCTACAGAGAAGGCAGTGTCAGGCCCGCCAGGCTCTGGGGGGCTGAGCTTCTGTCCCACCCACAGTGCCAGTGCCTCTCTTTGTCCCTGGCTCCTTTTAAAGGGCAACCCCTACCTTGAAGCAAGAAAGACCCACTAGTAGCAGATTGCCCAGAATTTCCGTAGAGCAGAGAGCAGGACCTGAGCACATGGGGTCCAGGAGCTGCGGGAACCGGGTGGGAGCGGAAGGGAGAGGAGTGCTGGGGGCAGGCCTGTCAGCCCCCACAGCCCAGCTCTCCTGAGCTGCCAGCGCGCTGGGAGAGGGGCTCTGGGGAGGTGGGGAGAGGGAGGGTGAGGCATCCGAGGCCTGACTTAGACTTTGGCCCTGGCCGTGGGGATGAGCTTGGGACACCTGTCCACCTGCCTCCCGTGGAGGGGTTGGCCGTCGTGTGCACACTATGGCTAATTGACTATAGGGCATTTGTAAGTTACTGAGAATATAAGGAAGCAGGAAGAATGAACCATATCCTTCCATTCAGAGCCTCTGTTAGTACTTTGACACATTTCCTTTTTCTGCCTTGAAACCATGCCCTCTGTGCTACTTAATATGCTGTGTTTCTGTCTTAGCTACTATAATAGTGGTGTTTTCTCAAATAAAGCTTTCATAAAGATCATATTTAATGGTTGGAGTAGCATGTTTGGATTAAAGTCTGGCTCCAAATTGCTTAGGTCACATCTGTCCCTCCAGCTGTGGGAGGTATGTGTTCCCAGGCTCACCTGTGACAGCAGGGGAGGCCAGGGCTGGGGCTGCACTCCTTAATGCCCCAACTCTCAGTCAGTGCAGTGGGGAAGGAAGGTCAGGACACGGCCCTGCACCAGCCTTGGACCTCTCCCTGCCTCCCTTAAATTGTATCTGTGACCCAGACTTGAATGACAATCACCTGTGAGCATCTTGAAAATGTGCATGGTGTCCTCTGCTTTCCTCCCAAATTGTGATTCTTTAGGTTGGTGGGGGCGGAATGCGACATGCCCTAAGGTAACCCAGGGTGGTACATTCGGGTGGGTTCTGCCAGCCCTTGAGCCATTCTTAACGTCTGGTGACTGACTCAGCTCAAGCGTTTGTGGCAAGGTGGGAGGCCTGAGTAGGGGCAGCAGGAAGGCGGGAGTGTGGAAGGACAGCTGTGGGGAAGCCAGCTGGCCCCAAGCAGTGTCGCTCAACCAGGGGCAGTTTTGCCCCCTGGCGAATACTTGACAATGTCTGGAGACATTTTGGTGTGTGTGGGGGTTGCTATTATTGAGGGGCCGGAAAACGGGGCTGCTGCTAAACTTCCACAGCATACAGTCCAACCTGAAGGGGCAAGTTGAGCCCTGCTCTGGACTGGGGACAGGAGGGAATGGGGCAGAGGAATGGTCCCCAGTGGACTGAAGCAGCCAGGTGACTGTCCTGGGGCTGCTTGGAGTTGAACCATTTTCCTCTAAACTTGGCTGTGTCCCACCCTGGCTGACTCACGGGCATCATTTTCTGGCCCACATCCTGTGTAGATAAACAGACGGCAAAGGCTGCCTGAGCGAGGGGGGAGGGCCTCCCTCCGGAGGCCCAGCTGTCAGCTGTCTCGGTTGTAGTCTCATCTGTGTAACCGAGTCCTTTTCACAGACTGAGTCGGGCCAAGAGCATCTGTTTGTCGTGTCTGTAAACGACACGGGTGTGTTTGAGAGAAGCACGAGGACGCAGTTGGATGTGGGTGGGCATCTCCCATCTGTGGCCAACCTGTGCGGCAGTTGAGTTTGCGCAGGTGGAGGGCCCCGGGTGGTCCTCAGTCCTGCCCGGACCTGCCTGGCTGAGTGGTGTGTGGATTTCTGGGAAGGGGAGCGAGGGAGCGGGAGCACTGTGTGGTGCCGCTGTTCATCTAAGCAGGTGGGGGCGCAGGGCCCTGTGCTGGAGGGTCACTGTCGCCTGCCTGGTGTTCGGAGGGCCTGATTTCCAGTTAATGTGCTCGCTCCTCACTGTTTCCCCTTCTGCCCAAAGCGTGCATCCAGGCCCTCTGCGGGAGTGCAGGCACACCTCCTGCCTCCCTGCGCCCACCTGCTCTCCTGTTCTTGCCCTCCCTTCGCAGCCGCCAGCCACCTCCATCTAGACGGTCACAACCCCCCCCCACCATTCCTCAGGGTGTTGCAGCCTGACCGTGTGGTCCAGCTGTGGCCTCACCTCTGGCTGCCACTGCCCCAGAGGCCTCATCTGCCGATTCCAGAGGACGTTGAATGCAGGGCCCACAGCTTCCCCTTGATGCCTCCTGTTTTTTCCCTCTGGCTGCTCACCAGCAGCCTCTATTCAGCCTCATGTTCTCTGACTTCAGCCTTTAGCCTCTCTGCCACTGTGCAGCAGGGGTCCTGACCACTCTCACTCCCAAAATAGTGTTTGGCTGGGGAGGGGGTTCCCAGAAGGCTGGCCCAGACTGTCACACACGCCCACTGAATCCCTTCAGCCTCGAGCTCTAGCTGCGTCCTATGGCCAGGCCGCGTGGTCACCTCAGACCGGATGCCTCCTTGCCTCCAGTGTGTCTGGTGCATCCCAGGGTTGAGAAGGGAGCCCTGTGCCCAGGCACGTGGCCAAGTCCCAGGAGGTGTCTAGGCTGTGTCCTCTCCTTGCACTGCTCTCGGTGGGCCCTGTGTCCCCAGTGCCTTCACAGCAGTTTTCTAACGTCTGGTGCCCCTTGGGCACCCAATGGGCTGGAACAGTTTTAACCAGATGCAAAGGTTCTGCCTTCCTCACTGCTTACACCCCCAGAAGACCCCCATTTGCAGAGCAAACTGGACTTCTCAGTGGATGTGTCCAGCCCTTTTGGAAATAAATGAGTTAGTACTGAAGACGTGTTGTAGATAGAGGGGAGCTAAGTAGACATGGGACCCCTTTCTCAGAGATGGGGCAGGGGATGGAGGTTGGAGGTTAGATGTGTTAGTGCCCCCAGCTCCACATAGGGGGTGTGGGAGGAGCTCTAGGCCTGGTGTCCTTGGGGAGCAGGAGTAATAAGTGGCGCTGATCATGTAAACACAGACTTGGGACTGGCTGATACTCTAGTCCTAGGTTTTGTAAACAGGAGCGCATGGTCCCAGGGTTCTTTGTAGGCCCTCCCCGCCTGGCCTGGGCCTGGCTAGAGTCTGCAGGGTTGGGAAGCTGCCCTTGGAGCAGAGGTCCCTTCCTGTTTTCCTCGCTGCTGAAACCTTGACCCCATTGCCAGTGGCATCACCCGCGTCCCTCCCCCGGGCCTCGACCCCCGGGCTCCGCAGTCTCGCACCAGCTCCTGGCCTCGTGCTGTCCCACAGCCTCTGGTGACTGCAAGGTCCCTCCCCTCCAGGACAGCTTCCTTGACCGCCTGTCCTCCCCCTGCTTGTCCTTTCCAGAAGTGCTGTCGTGTTTGCAGGGACCGCGCTGTCTGGTGTGTGGTGATTGGTGCTGTTCCAGTGACCAGTCAGGCCTGAGGAGCTAGTCTGGGGGCGCAGGGGGAGGAGGGTGGAATTCAGGTGTGGGGACCGGCAGTGCTGTTACCAGTTCCCTGGGCCTTCACGCTCCCTTCCCTCCCTCAGCCTGAGTCCTCCGGCCCTGCAGCTGCAACCAGACGTTATCAGCGGGCCCACATAATCTGGAATCCATTTTGAATTCACTGATAATGTAAAAAAAAAAAACACCGAGTCAAAAATGTTTTTGAATGACTAAAGCAAGGCCCAGCGCACCCTCACATGCATGGCTCTCCGGGGAGGAAACTAGAGAGATTGAGAGATTGGTGGTGGAGAGATTGAGAGATTGGTGGTGGTGGTGACCTATTACCTATTCAAAAATAAATTGAAATGGTTAAAAGGAAACACCTCAGAAGTAATAAAACAACAGATCATGAGCAATTACTGAAAAAAGAAAATAATGAAACCTTGCCCCCAGTGCAGATTTGGAAAATGGGAAGTACCGGTAACATTGGGCCTGAATTCCATCCCCATAGGGCCATCACTGCCGAGCCAAGTCGCGGGGAAGGCGGCCCACCTCCCTCAGGGGGGCTCTTGTGCCTTTAGGCCTCGCCAGGCCATCTAGGTTTCTGGCCCCGAGGTCGGTGGCTAGGTGGTACCTTGTGCTGTGACCAGCTGCAGGGTCACAAGAACTGTCCCAGAGAGGCCTGCTTACTGTTTAATTGTCTCTCCTTAGGGACCTGCTCGCCCTTGAGCTGGGTGTGTCAGAACAGGCCTCTGGCAGTGGTCCAGGCAGAGTGACTGGCTTTGTTGGGGTAAGCAGCCAGCTGACCCCCAGTGGCACCCACGTCCCTGTGGCTGAACTGCCAGGGCCTAGGCCACCTGGACTGACTGTCTCATGGAGCCTCAGGGTGAGAAGCCAGGAGAGGCTGACAGGGTGCACATCACACCCCACTTCCTCAAGTCGCGTTCAGGCGAGTTTGCCCTGGAGTCCATCCTGCTGCTGAAGCTGCGAGGCTTGGGGCTGGTGGACCTGGGCTGCCTGGGCGAGTGCCTGGGCCTCGAGTGGCTGGACCTGTCAAGCAATGCTCTCACGCATCTGGGCCCGCTGGCCTCCTTGCACCAGCTAGTCGTGCTCAACGTCGCCAACAACAGGCTGACGGGGCTGGAGCCACTGGCCGCCTGTGAGAAACTGCAGAGTCTCAATGCTGCGGGTAACCTGCTGGCCACCCCTGGCCAGCTGCAGTGTCTGGCCAGCCTGCGGGGCCTCGAGTGCTTGCGGCTGCAGGACCCTTTGGCCCGTCTCAGCAACCCGCTCTGCACCAGCCCCTCCTACTGGGCGGTGGTCCGAGAGCTCCTACCGGGCCTGAAGGTCATCAATGGGGAGCGCATGATTGGCCGCGGCAGTGAGTTCTACCAGCTGTGCCGGGACCTGGACAGCTCCCTGCACCCCAGCTCGGGCCCAGGCCCCAGAGTCCCCAGGGCCCAGCCCTGGGTGGAGCCAGGCTACTGGGAGCCCTGGCCTACCCGGGGCAGCTCCATCCTGGAGGAGGCCTGCCGGCAGTTCCAGGACACACTGCGAGAGTGCCATGACCTGGACCGGCAGGCCAACAGCAGCCTGGCCCAGGCAGAGCAGGCACTCAGCCCTGCAGGCACCACCTCGGCCTTTGTCTTTTGAATGCACCCAGTCAAGGCCCAGGACACCCTGGCACGTGTCTGTGGGGTGGGCACATTGTGGCCTCTCTGCCCGCATCTCCCCTCCTGCCTCTGCTGTCTGCACCATTGCATCGCACGGGCCCGCAACCAGGCTGCGTTTATCCCTGTTCCTAAGGTGGCGCCCTGCCCCCACTCCCAGCCCAAGGCAAAGTCCATACCCTCTGTGCTCACTCTTCAAAAGCACACCTCCCAGTGGCCTCTAGCAGGGGAAAGGGCCCCCGCAGGCAGCTGGCATGGTGTGAAGCCATCCTGCCACCCACCTACAGTGTGGGCAGGCGAAGAGGCCCCGTGCCGAGCCCATGCCCACAGCTGCTGCTGCTCCTGGCTGCGCGGACGGGCCTGAGATTAGTTGAGAGTCGTTGCTTCCTAGGGCTGATGTTGGGAGGGGCTTGTATGGCGCGTCTCCTGTCCCGGAACGATGTGGCCAGAGCATCGAAGCTGTTGCTTACCCCCCATCAAAATTTGCCTGTCCAAATGACCCTCTGCTGTGGCTGCCCTAGTCCTGGGGCTCCCTGGAGCCCCTGCTTCCCACTCTCACGCCGGCCGCCCATTCCCACCCCTTCAGCCCATTCTCACCCCACTAACTCCTATTAAATATTTCTGCTGTAATGTGCATCACTGCTTGTCATTTCACTTGAGCAGTCTTGGTTTTCCCAAGCATGAGCTCAGGCAAGGACTCCCCACCCCCTCTGGTCTCCCCACAGGGAAGGAGGGAAGGACGAGCACATGCCAGGCCCCGCAGGGTCTTGAACATCAAAGGGGAGGCTTTGAGAGCGGGCTGCACCTGAAACCAGCTGGCCCACATGACGCCTCACCCCTCAGCTCCAGTGCTCACCCCCGGGTGCTTCTTCCGCCGCTAGGACTGGAGCTTCCTGGCCTTTCCACTGGCGGCCTGCTAGCAGCTGGGCTCCGGCGGGCAGGGAGGGAGGGAGTGCCAGGGCAGAGAACCCAGCTCAGAGAGCAGTTTTATTAGCTCGGGGATAATGGGACCGTCCTCCCCGTGTACTGGGACAGGAGGGCCGTCTTGCACTGGTCACCTCCCACAGCTGTCCAGGAAGCCGACTGAATCTAGACAAAAAGAAAGTCACTCAGATTTGGGTGAGAGGGTGGCTGTTCTGGTCTTGTTCCCAGCTTTGTCCCCAGGCTCTGCATCTGTTCCCTCCCTGCTCCAGTGCTGGCACAGCCTGCCCCCAGCCCAGGGCTGTCCCTGCACCTGCCCCTCCCTCCCGGCTCACCAGTCCAGCCTCAGCTGCGGGGCAGGGCCTTGATGAAGGCAAACTGTCCCGGGAAGTAGTAGCTGTGGGGGTCCTCGCCAGTTCGCTCCACCCGGCCGCACTGTGCCTCCTGGCGCTCCTCAAGCTCCTGCAGCGCCAGCAGCCGCTCAGCCCTCCACTGCACCCACTGCCACCCCCTAGCCCCTCCTCCCCCTCCCCCTGCCCCCTCCCCTGCCTTGCCCTCCCCACCCTCCCCTCCTCCCCTCCCCACCCCTCCTTATCCTCTTGGCTCCTCTGTCCAGGCTTCTGCCACCAGCCTCTCCCACAGGCCCAGCTTAATCCTCACTAGCCGCCTCCCCAGCCTCCGCACTTCCTGCTCTGCTCACTCTTACCTGTTGAACCTGTGTCTGTATGGGGCAGTGGACCATCCGGCCCAGGACTTTATTCTCAGAGTCCAGCTTGATGCAGGCCAGGCATTTCCGCTTCCTCTGTGGAGGGGTGCATAGGGACAGAAAGGAAAAAGGGACGAGGGGAGGCATGTGGCCTCACAAGGGTAGAAGCCAGGGCTGCCTGCCGTGGGATCATTTCTCCTGGCGAGTACTGGAGCTGAGGGCTGAGGGGTCATGCGGGCCAGCTGGTTTCAGGTGCAGCCCACCCTCAACCTGGGAAATTCCGGAAGTCAAACCATCCTGCAGTTTTCAAACTCTGGCACTTGTGTGTGTAGGCGGGACTCCTCCCGAGATGGGCTGTCCCCACTGACTTCCACCCCAGCTACTCTGCTGTCATCAATTGTATCTGCGTGCACTTTCTTGGAATATTTGATTTGAACACAGGGGTCCTGGTATAAAAGTCTGGAAAACTACTGACATAATCTAGTCCCTCCCTTAACAAGTGGAGGGATCTGAGTCCTTCAAAAATACTAGAGTCACAGGGCTCGTGCTTGGAGAGCCCAGACTAGAACCCAGATCCTGCATGCCCAGCCCAGGGATCTCCCTCATAGCAGCTGTTTTGCCCCCAAAGTGGTTGATTATAGTGAAGCCCTGTTATGAATCAGCCAGGGCTGGACCATCACTACTCAAAAACTCACAGAACACAGGGAATTCACCAGGCCTGGGGTGGGGGCCAGACAAAGCCCATACCATGGGCTGTTTCCACCAGTGACCTGAAGCCTGAGACAGGAACTCAGACGGAAGCAGGACCCTCTCTGAAGGACACGTGTCCTCAGAGTGGCCCAGCCCTCCGCCGTCCTGCCTGGACAGACCTCAGCCCACCCGTAACTGTCACAGCCAGGCCCAGACTGAGCCACCTCAGCTTCCAGGGAGGCTGCTCCCATCTCAGGGCTTCCCGCCTCAGAATCTCCTACGAAAGCCCAATTATATATACTTGCACCATGTTCCCCATCTCTCTCACACACAAACACATATGGACATAACATGTCTTCACTCACCCCGTTGGGCTTAACTTTGCACTCAGCTTTCTTCCAGTCTTTCTTCCGGCAGCTTGTCTGCTGGAGCTTGAATTCAAGCCTCACAAAGGTCCCCGCAGGGAAGGGCTGCCAACAGACAGACAGAGCAAGGTCAGCAGCCAGCTGAGTTGGCAGAGCAATTCCTGGATGTGACCTGTCCCTCCTCCCCGCAGCGAAGCAGCTTGTCCAAGTAGGTGGCTGGGGTGGCGGCCTTTCTCTGGGGAGCTCGGTGCTCATGGAACCCCAACACCTTTGTAGCTGCTTCCTAGGAACATAGTGGTCTCTTGGGATGCAGCCCTGACGCCCTCCTCTTTGGGGACATGCCACTAACCGTTTCCATGGCGCTGTCCACACTGATCTCCCGGAAAGCCCACTGCACTGGAGGGTGTTTGTGGAATTCCTCCAGGGCCACCTGCAGGCCCCGGTGCTGGGTGGCTGTGAGCTCGGCCCTGCTCAGGCCCACCGTGCTCAGCCACAGGGCTAGCGGGATCAGCAGCTGCCACATGGCTTCACCGCAGTCACCTTGGCCCTGCGAAGGGTGTGTGTGCAATCCTCAGCTCCTCATGCCAGCCAGCAGCCACCAAAGGCCGGGCCCTTGGTTCAGGGGCATGGCTGGCAAAGCCCTGGGCAAAGGTGGAGAGATGGGATGTGGCCCTTTGCCGAGAATTCCACTGGTATTCCCCAGGCCCCTCTGCTCCTCCCCACCCTGTCCCCCACTGACGCCTGGGTCCTGCTCAACCTGGGTCTGGCCCTGTCCTGCGGACGCTTTTGTCCTCCGGCCGACAGCCTGGAAGCCCCCTGTTGCCCACTCCTGCCTTCCCACCTTTTCTGGCCCATTCTCTCTGCCCACTGCCCCAGGGCCCCTCCCCCGCCCCCAGGCGAACTCGGGACGCCGAGGGGCCGGCCGCGAGGGAGGCGGGCTGCAAGCTGAATATTTTGGGGAGGACGTAAACACGTGGGAGGGGCCCAGAGCAGGGTGGGAACCGGAGGATGCTTAACCCTCCCAGCACTGGGGCTGCTCATTGTCACTGGCCCGACCCCTGACCCCAGAAACTGGGGTCTCGCCTCAGCCCCACTGTGACTCTCCAGGCAGACAGACCCTCCCGCCCTTCCTTTTCTTCTGGGGCCTTCCCCACCACCCCTCTCCCGGCCCTTCTGATCCTGTCCCCCAATCTCTGACTGGAGTCGCCTGAGAGGTGCACCCTCCCGGCAAACTGCCTGCACCCGTGGTCTTAGGACCAGAAAGCTACACATGTGGAAACTGAGGCCCTACAGTGAAGAGATACCGGGGTGCTGCCTTAAAGCAACAGCCCTTGGACAAGTTGGCAAATTTTGCCCTTGGAGCCGCGCCCATTGCCCTCCGCCACCTGCCCAGCTGCCCCCCGCCGCTCGTCTCCTCACCCACCTCCTTTCCCGCGCCCGCGGTCCGACACTCCCTGCCGCTGCCTCTGGGCCAGGCTGTCGGCCTCTGCCCGGCCCTCCCGCGGGTCGGCCCCCATCTCCTCCCACTCCCACCCCCTGGGCTGCCCCTGCTCCCAGCGCCACCGCAGGCTCCTCCCCAAGGCCCTTAGGACCGGCCTCCCGGGCAGCAGGCCCTCCCCTGCCCCCTCCCCGGGCCAAGGAGCCCAAGCGCTCAGCGATCTGAGGATTCGGGCCTGGCCTCTTCTCCTCGGCGTGGACTGCCCTGACCCCACCCCGCCTCCGGGTAGAACTGTCTTTCAATTAGGCCCCTCCTGCTGACCAGTCCACAGCATCTCCAGACGCTCGTTTCAGGAAATCTCAGAAATACAGACATCCTCAAACCAGATGAGCCCTTGAGGAGTCACTGGGTCCTTCCCCCTGTCTCCCAAGCCCTAAAGCCACACTGAGAAGGCAGGTGTCCCCTTTAGAGATGACTCTGGTGCCCCACAACATCTATTGCCAGCCAACATGCCAGTCTTGATCCTGCATGTGTCATCCTTGGTGGTGATAGGCTCAGGGGTCTCCTGCGGGGTATTGGGAGCCTTCAGGTATGGCAGAACGGTGACATTTGCAAGACCAGTGCAGGGTCAGGGAAGACAGTGTTCAGTTCAACCCCTGCATGTCCTGAGCAACACGAACAAGCTCTGGGATTTTGTGTGTCAGTGACGAGAATATCGTGTCTCCAGGTCCAGAGGGTCTCATTTAACTTCCCAAAGCCCTGGGACTTCTGCTTCCTTCTTTGCAAGGTGGGGACCAGAAGCCCTACTCTAAGGAGTCATTCTGAAGGATAAATGAGGAAATATATGAAAGCAACACATGGCCCAGAGTTTGGCACAAGTTTTCTCCCCTTCCCTATCCACTGCCGCCAGGATTCTCAGCAGGGAGCTGAGAGCTTCCTTGGCAATGCGCTCTGGGGGCTTGGCTTCCGTTTAGCCAGTGCTGGTGCCTGGAATCCCATCACATTTCATGCCCAACTGTGGGTTACGGACTATCGTTAAACAGAGATGGGATCTTGTGCTCCAAGAGCTTTAGATGGGTTTGGAGAGACAACATGCGCACACACGACATCTCCCAGCCTGGGACTCCGTGCTGGGGGGGCCCCTGGGGAAGGGTGGCCAGAGAAAACTTCCAGGAAAAGGTGGAACTTGAGCTGAGGAAAGCAGGGAAGTCATCCTGCCTCTGGCAGGGGCTGGAGGGAGGTGTTGGGGGGTGGGAGGTGGGGCTGGTGGGCGTTGAATCAGGCCTGGGTGAGGGAGGCTGGGAGCAGGATGCTGGCAGCTGGCAGCTGGCAAGGAAGGAGAGCAGGACTATGTACAAATACAGTGTAGGTCATGCAGCCAGACAGGATTCCCTTTGGGTGAAGGGAGTGTGAGGTGGGCACCTCAGGTGGGCAGTCCTACTGCAGGCAGTCACAGGTGGGCATGTGTTGGGGCCATTAGTGCACATTCATGAGTTCAGCTGCAGGGGACGTGT